CAAGAAAAAAAAAAGAAAAAAGAAACGAAGCAATGAATCATAACATTTATAGCACAAGAACTGACTCTTGTATATAAGCATCAACAGATTGAGTAATTTTTAAATACAAAGTTATTTGCAGTGATTTTAAAGCACTTCCCCAGCAATTCTCTTAGGGACAGCTGAGGCAAGAAGGCTGCTGTAGTCCCCGGGTGGGTAAGGAGCACACCTCTCCCTGGAAAAGCCGTTCTTTACACAGTCCCCTGTGTCCTCAAAGTCACGATTTGGATTTGGCATGGACGAAAAGCAGAGGCCGTTTCGTATTGTGCTGTCGTGCGTGGTCCTGTTGTGAAGTGCGCTGTTGTACACGTGGCTCGGTGGAGCACGAGGCTCAAATCTCACCTGGCGTCCCTTCACGCTGTCATCTTAGATCTAGATCTGACAAGCCCGGGCTGCGTTGCGGGAGCAGGCAGAGTTTCAGACAGGGTGTTGTGTTGTCCATCTGTGTTACGTATTTAATTACTCTGAGTAATTAAGATGTGGGACAGTGCTGCCAGCCGGTGCCTCTGTCCCCTCCCCAGCTGCAGTGGCACCGCTGGCAAGCCTCCGTCTTGCGAGCAAGTAGGATTCTTTGGTGTACCGAGTAAACCAGGTTCTCGATGACATGGAAACCTCCGGGTTTGGTTCTTGGGGTGTGTTGGGTAGGCGATGCTGAAGCCGACCCCTGTATTTAGCCGACCTTCCCACCAGGTGTCTCTCGTCCTCTGCCTGCAGCCGCTCCAAGAGCTGGGTGTGCCACCACAAAGCTGAAATCTTCTCTCCCAGCTTTGGGTGTGGGTGTCTGCCATGTCCCTCGGTGGGGATTCATGGGCTCTTGCTTTGTCTCGTGGGCTGGGAGGATGCTCTGGTCCCAGGGGAGGGGACACCCGCCTGGTGGGGGGCTCTGCAGGGGTCCCCACCAGCCAGGCTGGGAATGGCATTGGAGGGCTTTGAAAACAGTCTTTAGTGGGCATCTGAGGCGCTTAGGAAAGGGAGGGTTTTACTAAGAGATCCCTTGGGATCCATTTTCAAAGGCTGCACAGCCTGAGCTGCCTTCTCTGCATCACTGCTCGGGAGGGTGCAGGCTGCACCAGCTCCCGACGAACTGAGGCATGCGTCTGTCCATCTGTCTGTCCGTCTGCTGCCCGGCACCGGTGCCGCCAGGTGGGTCCGTCCGAGCACTGAACTTTTTGGTTTTTTTCTTTAACCTGGCTGTAAAGAAAACTGCTTGGCTAGTGTGAACATTTGTGTGTGCGTATGACAAATACCTAAGCCATACTTGGATTAGGTCCAGAACCGGGGTGGCTACTAAATTTGGAGCGATGCAGTCCCCTCGTACAAAGGTTGCTGTATATTCAGGGTTACCCAGAAGAAGTCTAGCTAAAACCGAAGTGCCAGCTCCGCCTTATCTAGAGAAAAGCAAGCCGGCGTGCCTGCTCGTCCTCCGCCTTCCTTGCAAAGGGGGGTCCGCGGTGAGGTGTCGTGAGCTCTTTGGTGGTTGTACTTTGCTTTAGTCTTGGGAATTCAAGATAACTCTTCTACCAGGATTAACGGTGTTTAACCAAGGGCTTAGGGGAAGAGCTGTTGTACCCACTGGGACCTCTGCGGATAAATGCCTTCACCCCGTGCTGGTTGCTCTACGCGAAGTCTGGTGGGGTGCGTGTTGGACACAAAGCACAATGGTTGAAAGTTAATCTGCGTTTTTTTCCAATTTGTGTGAATAATTGCTGGATTTTCATTCAATCAAACTCTTTTTTCTAATATAAACCACTAAGGGCTCAATTCTTTAGCAAGATGCGTTCGTGTTCAACTCCTGACTATACAGCTGGATCTCACCGCAACTGTTACAGACCTACTCGAGAGAAAACACAGCTAGCGCGACCGTCACCAGGAAAGCCAACGGACACCAAACCCATCTGCCGTATCCTTTCCTCCTGCTCATTTTCTAGCTGTCACGGTACGGAGGAGTCAGCAGCCGGGTCCCGTCCGACGGGATTGCGTCCTGTAGTCACGAAAACAGAGGGCTGCTTTGCCAAAAGACTTTGTCCCTTCTGGGTGACGCTGTCCAGGGACGGCGGTGCAGCTGCGGGTCATCTCCTCCAGCGGGTCGGGATCGTGCTGGGTGGGTGGGAAAGCCCTCACGCCCAGGGAATTGGGTCACTTCACCGTGGGTCTGCCTCGCTGTGCACTGATAAGCCAGACACTGAGAGCAGCACTGTGTGCTACGTAAAGTCCATTTTGTTGCTACACCGATAACCCAGAGACTCGTGTGGACTCTGCCAGTACTGCTGGTGTCATCCCTGTCCAGCCTTTTCTTTCCCATAGTGTTGCATTCAGCGTTCCGTCTCCCTTCTGTCTTCACATCCGAGAGGATCCGAGTTCGGTACAAACACGTACAGTACACACACCTTGTGCTTTGTACAATTCCCCGGTTGCCATCCTTCGAGACACTTGCTGGGAAGATCTTTAAGACACTTAAATTTTCCTTTAGCTTTTCTATAATTCTGATGTAAAGGACTTTCTCTCTGTACAGTATATTATTCAGTGCATGTTCTGTTCTCTCTACTGATATATTGAACACCACACAGTTGTGATATTGTGCAGTGGGAAGAGCAACCCCTGCCGACAGCGGAGGCCTTCGCCTCTCATGTATAAGGAAAGAAGAAAACATATTTTTTCCTTTGCTGTATTTGCTTGAGCAGAGTTTTCTTGTCTGTACATGTGAGCTGTGAGATAGATGTGAAAAGTTCAAAAGAATGCATTCCCCCTCCCCAATGTATACAGATTGTAATCTGTACAATGAAAACTGTATGTATGAAAAAATGTACTTATTTATAAATGGTTAACACTTGGAAACGGCGTCTGGCCTCGTGTTTTTGCCACGCTGTGGTGAGCAAAGGAGCACGCTGTGGCTTCTCGGCATGGAAATGACCTGGGGACATGGGGACAGCACGAGGGTCGGGTCTGGCTGTCACTGCCTGGGGATGGGGACGGGGACATGGCACTGCCGGGAGCAGGAGGGGATGGAGGCAGCGCTGCTGCTGCCATGAGCAAAGGGGCATTAATGAAATAAGGGAGGGAGCTGCATCAGAGAGTTTTCTGGATTAAATTGTGGAAAGCACAGCTCAGCGCTGTGGACACCGGAGCCCTGCAGCTCCTGAGAACGAGAGCGTCTGCTCGCTTCATCCCTGCTCAAACCCAGGGCTCGGTTTGGCAGCTGAACGCCCCTCACAGCTGCGAGCATCCCTGCCTCCAGCAGCCGGGCCGGGCTGGATGCGCAGTGCTGGAAGGACGCAGCGCATTGGGGTTGTGGTGAGCAAAAACCCCAGGCTTGGGCTTGTGCCTTTGCTGGGGCTGCGCTTGCTTTGCAGCACTGGGATGGGAAGCTTCAGGTTTCCGGCAGCTTCGGCCGCACAGCTGCCTGTGCCGAAACCCAGGAGGAAGAGGGGATTCTTTCAGCAGAGGAGACGAGCTGTTGTGGTTTAACCTCAGCCGGCGACTGCGA